GCTTAGGGATTTGGAGTTGTATCGTGGGGAGTCAAACCAAGAGAACGAATAAAATATCTTGTATTCTTGAAACTGAGATCTGTGAGTTGTATCTTGCAAATCGGTTGCACATTGATAATATGTAAATGCACCAGTAACTTGGTGTTATAAAACGTATTGTTATGTGTGATTCGGTGAGTAAGTACAAGAGAGCATTGAGTTGAAGTTTATCCGTTCCTTTTACCCAAAGTGGGATAAAAGCGATATCTGTGGGCCCCTCGATGATTTAGTGATGACAAAGGAAAGTGCTCGACCGGGCCAAGACTGATTTGATTTGTTCAATTAGTCAGTCGTCATAAATCAGAAATCGGGAAACAACACATAGACTGAGAGAATGATTTCAATCCATGTCTCACGTCTATACGATATCTAGAATGGAGGAATATATGATCCCTTATCTAAAGGACGTGTATCTGATAAGATCAGAGTTGACAGCGGATTTTGAAAGCTACGATTGCTGATCAGGATCTGAAGTCATACGCAAAATAGTTATTAGACTTATCCAAGTGGGAGACTATTTGATTAGTGTCTAAGCCCATAACTATTTTGGTATGTACTTGACCCGATTGCGAGCATGGTCCTTTTGGGTTGCCTTCACCAAAGCAACTTGATAGGATGATTTGTGGAGAATGAGATTAATTATGATTTATTAATATATTATGAGAATAATATATTAAAGGAGAAATCATATTATTTAATTAATATTAGTCAAGAATTAATCAGAATTAATTTTGTGGCTAAAAGGCATTGATTAAATAAAGGGGACTAGAACTGTCAATTGTGTGATAGTTGAATATTGGGCTAATGAACTCCATATTAGAGGAGTGGACGAATTCTATGGGGAAACCCATTAGAAATCGTCCAAGGCCTCTAAATGAGGAGTCCATGGGTTGCTTAGGGCCTAAGCAGTCAAATTAGGGTTTGCTTGTTAGATAACCCTAATAGCCTCACTATTTAATGACCCCTAAGGCACCAAAAACGTGGCTAAGAGTTTCCTTAGGGTTTCTAGACGTTTTTGAGTGCCTCTCCTCTTCTCCTTCTTCATCCTCTTGCTCTTGGTGTTTGTGAGCCATTAGAGGAGTGACATTTGTGACTCTAAGCTTTTAGAAGCCAATTACAAGAAGGAATTGAGATTGTTATTGCTACATAACAATCAAGGTAACATCTAAACCCTAATTCATATGTTATTTGATTATCACATGCTAGATCTAGGGTTTATGGCTTTGGATGATTATTGCATGTTCATTAGACAAACTAGATCCAAAGCTTTAGGGTTTGCATGTACACCATAGGAATGTTGTAGTGCTCAAACCCCATCAAATTCATCATCCAATGCCCATTAGGGAAAGCCCAGCAAGGCAAGCCCAACCAGAAGTCCATTACTCTAAAATCCTTAGTCCATTATGAGTCCAAACCAAAGGATAAGCTAGCCAACAATCACAGAGCCCAAAACTTGCACAGGTGATGCTCACGTCGTGAGCACCTTATGCTCACGTCGTGAGCACCTTATGCTCACGTCGTGAGCTCGTGACTTTGGCCCAAAAACTTCCTCGAACACGCTCTCGTATCCCGAGGCTTCATTCCTCACGTCATGAGTCCAGATCTGACCAAAAATGAGCATTAAGCTCCTAATCCATTAAGCCTTAACATGGGACAGTCTAGAGAGTCTTCCTTGACCCCAAGGACCATAAAAATCGAAGCTTTTTGGTCATGTATGTCCAATAATGAATCAAACACCAACTTGGGTCAAAATAAAGGAAAAGGACCACGAATCAACTTGGAGTCCAAAACCATGACCAAACTTCAGATCTAGAACATGTAAGACTTAAGATACCATCATGATCCATAAAGTTGCCAACTTTATGGACTCCATGCATGCTAACCAACATTACAAGCCATAAAATGCATGGAAACTTAGATCTAGCAAGCAATGAAAGGAAAGGCATGGGCTTGAGGACTTACAAAAGTCCAAAAGCTCCTCAACTAGCTGATAATGAAGCCAAGATGCTAACAAACGCACCACCAATGATCTTCTTCTTCCTCAAAGGGCCTCAAAGCTTCAAAATCTCTTGAATAACACAAAGAATGATCAATGACTTCAATGGGGGCTGAGATTAGGGTTTCCAGATGTCTTGGGAGTAAAAGAGGCCGAGGAGAAGAAACTTAATCATCTCATACCTTTAAATACCCGTAAATTAGGGTTTTGGTGCATCAGGCGCTCCTCACGTCGTGAGCACTTCATGCTCACGTCGTGAGCCTTAAATGAGCTTGGTCAACAAGTCAACGATCACTCACCCGAACTACTCCAACTTCAAATGGCCATAAATTCTTCGTTTCAACTCCGTTTTTGACATTCTTTATATCCACGGAAAGGTGGCGAGAAGCTCTACACATCTATCAACTTATCCTCACCTCAAAACCTTCCGAACGGAAATCTAAAATTCATAAAGAGCTCGAACTGCCACTTTATCGATATACCCCTTGGCTCCAAGGCACAACCTAAACTCCCTGATCACATCAATTACATTATCCGTACCTAAATGGGTCTAGATCTCTCTTTTCCAAAGGCCCTAAGCCTTATGATAACCTATCTTCATGCCACAGTCCCGAATTAGGAAAGCGATTATGAACAGGGCGTTACACCATTTTATAAAAATCCTTTTTAGAAAATCTTTTTCTTTTCACTTAATTCCTAGTTTGAGTTCAAACACACCCAAAAGTGTGTCTGAATCCCTCAAACCAGGGTTCTGATACCAACTTGTAACATCCCAAAATACTAAGTAATTTTTTTTTTTTTAGAATCAACCAAACCATCAATCATATATTTCAAAACCATCAAGTATGTCATAGTAGAAAAACAATTATCAGAGTACAATCCCCAAATCATGAAATGTCAAACACAGGTGGATGCGATGCGATCATGCCATGACCTTCCCTTTTGAACTGGAAGTACCTGAAAAACATTTAAACATAAACCGCAAGCATAAAGCTTAGTGAGTTCACCAAAATGCCATATACCATACATACACATCATCCATACATATCATACTAAAACATGTAATAGATCTATTTCACCCCTGAGTCCCTTTCGACTCTCTGAGTCCCTTCCGACTCCCTAAGTCCCTTCCGAATCGTTGAGTCCCTTCCGACTCTTTTGGTATCTTTCAAGCGGTAAGGGTCTATTTCAACCCGACAGCTAAGCATACAATCATACTAGAGATAGTCACAAAGACAATAAGCACATACAGACACATCAGTAAGTATCATGAAGACCACTGTTATCCTACAACATAATCTAGTGGGCCGACATTGGTGCCTTCGACCCATAAGTACAATGAGGAGACTCACCTTGGTCTGATGATAAAAAAATCACAGTCTCGGGCTGCTGCTACCATGACTCCTCACACTGAACATATCCAAAATCAACCCTAATTAATAATCAGGGTAATAACCTCTAATCAATGGTCCAAATCATATTCTATCATGCTAAGGGTAAAAGACTATTTTGCCCTTTCCCTACTTGACCCATCTAACCATGGCCCAAACCCATAATGACCCAAGGCCCAAAAGTGGCCCAAATGACCTTTTGGTGAGTATGCCAAGTGTACCACCGCATTATGCCTGACGTACTGGGCTTCGACAGAAAAGGTAATCGGGCTCAACCCATCACGTTGTGCGTACCAAGAGGGTATGCCCAACGTACTTTACTAATGCCCAAAACTTGCCATTAAGCACTTAACGCGTAAATTCTAAACGTCCAATTCACAGATCTAACTCTTAAGAAGGTCTTAACTAATAAAGTTGGTAACTTTAAGCTTTTGCATGGCTTAATAGGACCCAACACTAAACCCTAGGTCCATAATTTCTTAAAAATATCAACAACTCATGCATGAGTGGACTACAACCCCCAAGTTTGAAGCTTTATACATCCAGAAGATGCAAAATGTAAAACGAAGTCTGGATCTAGAAGCTCTAAGCTTCCCAACACTTCTCCATTTAACTCATTCTTCTAAAAATGAACCAAAACACATAAAAATCACTCTAAGAGCTCAAGAACCTCACATGTTGGCTAGGGTTTCAAAATGATGCTTTGGGGATAATGGAGGTTGGTGATGAGGGAGACCATGAGGGTCTTAAGGTGTTTAAATAGGTTCAAAACCCTAAAAATTATGGTTTAAGGCATGCATGAGTACGCCCAACGTACCTAGCACGTACACCCAACGTACTCAAGGGAACCCACGATCATATTAAATGACCTATGCCTGTCGTACCTATCACGTACGCTCGACATAGGGACCAATTTTGCAAACAACTTTATATTATGAACCTTTATGAAAAATACATGGAACACGAGCGTTACAAAGAGAATGAGAAAGAGAGATTGTAAGTGAGAGAGTAAGTGAAGGGGATGGTGTTGTAGGCGGTGGCTGACGATGGCAATGGTGGTGGTGGCAATAGCTGCTTCTCAAGAAAAAAAGACGAGTAATGAATTTTAGGGTTAGTGGGTTTGGGAAGATGATGATATAAATTTATGTGTTTTTTTTATTAATAAATGATTATTTTAAAACTGAAAAAACTCTAATCTTATGTGAAATTATAATTTGAAATCAAATATGAAAAAAAAACCCACATGGACTACTAATGCACAAAATGGAACTGTATAGACCCGATACATAGCGTTTTTGATAGGTGATAGATATATTGAATCAGTATATTTTGAAAAACTATTGTCGAAACATATAATTCTGTATTAATTTATATTTTATTATATTAGTTGTATTAAAATTAAAATTAAAATTAATGAAACCTATATATTGGTCGAAATGTTATATTAGATTAAATTTTTTTTTAATATAATAATAAGTGTATAAAACCCAAATCCTAAACTTTTCTCACTAATTTTCCGAGTTTCCATTTTGCCAAATCAAAAAAACACCAAAGTGGCTGGCTGCTACATCGGCTTAAACAGTCTTGGTTGGCTTCCTCCGCCCAAACCCTACACCAGGGTTTTGCGGTTTATCACCGCAAATAGTAAACCCGCTACCGAGATCTCGTGGCCCTTTCTCATACGCACCAAAACTCATGGCACCATCGCCACCACAACCCCCTTCAACAACATCGCCAAAATGAAGCGTTTCCATAACGAATTCATCGACAAAAACCTTCTTCCAATCACATCTGCCTCTTAATGGATTTAAAGAGGCTCAGAATCTCCAAATTCTCACCCTTAAAGAGGAATCCCTTTCAATCAGCCTCTACCCAGCACAACCATTCAAAGCCATCGCCCAAAAACCCGCCATTGCAGCTCGAGAATCAGGATTTGATCAAACGGGTAACTTCAATTCTATCAAACCCATCTCTAGATTCGTCTAAATGTAAAGATATAGTCACACATTTGTCTCCACAGCAGTTCGATAGTGTGTTCTGCGATATTAGGTATTCTGTGAAACCACGAACCGCATTGAATTTCTTTTACTTTGCTGCCAGGTCTTGCGGATTTAAATTCAGTATTAAGTCTTATTGTTTGTTGATTCATTTGCTTGTTGCTTCAAAACTGGAAGCCCCAGCTAGATTACTTTTGATTCAATTGATCGACGATAAACTCCCTGTGTTACTTCATGATCCCAAAACCAAACACACCGAGATTGCCACTTTATTTATGGAATTCCATTTCACATCAGACGCACTCCCCCTTCCAACATTTGATTTGTTGATTCATGTTTATTGTACCCCAATTCAAAGCTTTTGGCCTCCTTCCTGCTTCAGATGTAGTCCAGTTAATAGCCGAAAAGCACTTGTTTCCATCATTAAACACTTGTAATTTTCTCTTGACTTCTCTCGTGAAGTCAAACCTCCTTCAAAAAGCCCATGAGATCTTCAACATTTTACGTAGAGGTGTTCAACCAGATGTCTATCTCTTTACAACAGCCATTAACGCCCTTTGTAAAGACCACAAAATCAAAGAAGCCATGGCCTTATTCTCACAAATGGAGGAAATTGGTGTTTCCCCAAATGTTGTAACTTACAATAACATCATTCATGGTCTTTGCAAGAATCAGAACTTACAAGAAGCTTTTCACCTCAAAGAAAAGATGATCAAAAAAGGTGTAACTCCTAGTCTTAATACATATAGTGTTCTTATCAACGGGTTATTGAAAGCTCAAAACTACAATGAAGCTCAGAGTGTTTTAACTGAAATGACCTCCAATGGTTTTCTCCCAAATGAGGTTGTTTATAATACTTTGATAGATGGATATTGTACACAAGGTGACATGAAGAAAGCAATTGAAATTAGAAATGACATGTCATCAAAGGGATTGAATCCAAATTCTGTCACTTTCAATACTCTCATCAAGGGATTTTGCAATAGTAATCAATTTGAAGAAGCTGAAAAGCTTTTGGAGGAAATGCTTTCGATTAGTTTAACAATAAACGCGGGTTCTTTTACTTCCATTATTCATTGGCTTTGTAAGCTTTCAAAAATGGATTCTGCTCTTCGATATGTTCATGAAATGTTGTTAAGAGATTTAAAGCCAAATGATAAATTGTTGACTATGATAGTTACTGGTCTTTGTAATCAAGGTAAACATTCAGAAGCAGTTAATCTTTGGTTTAAACTACTTGAAAAACGTTTTTTTCCAAATATAATAACATCAAATGCCCTTATTCATGGTCTTTGTGAATCTTCAAATGCAAAAGAGGTTATCAAGATTCTTAAAGAAATGTCACAAAAAGGGTTACATTTTGATAGATCTACATACAACACTTTGATCTCATGGCATTGCAAAGAGGGGAGATTCGAGGAAGGTTTTCAATTAAGTGAAGAGATGGGTAAAAAGGGAATTTCACCGGATACTTCAACTTACACTTCATTGATAAACGGGTTGTGTCAAAAGGGTAAGATGGATGAAGCTTTGATGTTTTTTGAGAAGTGTAAAACTAAAGGTTTGACTCCTGATGTTTCGACATATGGAGTTATCATCGAAGGTTTTTGTAAATGTGATCAAATCGAAAAGGGAAAAAATCTTTTTAACAAGATAGTCAACGAGAAAATGGAAGTCAACTCTTTTATCTATAATTCCCTAATTAGAGGATACACAAGAATGGGTGATATGAAAGAGGCGATTAGGGTTTGTAATGAGATGAAAAGTAAAGGAATTCAACCGACTTCTGAAACTTATTCTTCTTTAATCGATGGACACTGCAAAATCGGATGTGTTAAAGATGCAAAGCTTGTGATTGATGAAATGAGGGAGTTGAGTTTATCACCAAATGCTGTATGTTATACTGTTTTAATCAATGGGTATTGTAAGATGGGGGAGATGGATAAAGTGGAAGCAATTTTGGGGGAAATGTGTTCATATGGGATAAACCCTAATAAAATCACATATACAGTTATGATGGATGGGTATTGCAGACTTGGTGAAACAGATGAAGCTGTGAAGCTTCTTGGAGAGATGAAAGAAAAGGGAATTGTTCCTGATGTTGTTACGTATAATACACTGGCTAAAGGGTTTTCAAAGGAAGGGAGGATTGAAGATGCCTTCCAACTGTTTGATGAAATGTCTCAAAGAGGTGTAGCTTTAGATGAAATAACATACACTACTCTAATTCATGGGTGGAACCAGAAATCAGCCAAAAATCAAGAATGATAAAATGGTAGGTAATAGGTTCTCAATTTTTGTAGATGAGATTTTTAGAATGATATTCCTTTTATAAAAAACTACTTCATAAGTGGATGAAACTTGAAAGTATATACACACTTCTTTTTTTGTTCAGTTTGTTTCTTCAAGAAGTTGTAATTCTTTTGATTTTGAAATTATAGACAGGATAATTGACATTCATAAGTAGGTTATTTCCTTTATAGCTGCAGTGTAAGATCTTGAGTTTACTCCAAAGAACAAACAAGGAATGCTGCAAAGTCTATCTCAAGAAGTAAGCTTTATCATATATATATATATATATATTATATATATATATATATATATATATATATATATATATATATAACTGTTGATACATCATACATGAATACTTTTTTTTTGTGAGTTTCTAAATTTGTTTTGTTTTTATATACAAAATTCAGGATTGAGCTTCCAAATGATTATCATATCAGGAATTAGAGGCTTATTCGAAAACAGTGGACATATAGTGATTGGTTAATGCCAATACTATTGCTTTTTCAGGTATGTTATAATTGGGTATTTTTTGCAATGTACAATTACTAAGAAGGAAAATTTGAAAGTATAATACTATAATTTGGAAGCTTTTGAAAGCACTATGCCTTAATGATATATAGTATTTTCAGTGATTATGAAAATAGTTATAATTGTTTTCATTCACTACTTGGATGCAGGCTTGTGGAATTTGAGACAGAGGATTAAATTTCATGGATCGAGGTGTTTCTGTTTGCCTTGAAGAATCAGAAACCATCTCACTCGCATACTTGCTGGATTGGAATTGACTTTGCTTCCTTCTGTACATTCAACCTAATTTGTGCATAACATTTTTTTGAAAAATATGAACAATAATATCATACACTTTATATGCCATTAGAAATGATCTATGGTGGATAACTGTTAGCCATGGATCCTACAAATGATTAGTTATGTATGTTGAGTTGCAAACAAAACAGAATCATTTTCATCATTCGGCACAGTCGGTCAAAGAAATTATCAATCAACATAAACTTTGTCAGATGTAGACTTAATCAAAATTTCTAACCCAATCAACAACTGTCAAACAACTATAACTTCAATTTTTTGTCCGAAGGTATATACAAAACAAAAGAAACCCTTCATGAAGTTCATGTTATCGCTCCTTTCGTCATAGATATAGATTTGGGTCCTATTTATACCTATCGTACATTCTGATTTAATCTCATGGATTCTAATTTTTAAAATTATCTTAAAGTTTTACCAACATTCGGCTTTAGGTTTCATTGTTTTCGCCTTGAATTCGCCTGTTTCTACATGATTTTTTTTTTCTAAATCTTTTGGATTGTTAATTATTACGGGTAAGGAGTCATGGGTTTTTGAACTTCAATGACGATTGAAGCTTCCTTGAGATAAAAATAGTGAGATCCTTGTGTACGAGCATCCATCTCATGGAACCTTCCATTGATCAATGTTTTAGTTCAACTACTCTCATATGAAGTCAACCTTTGTTAGGGAAGTTTTATTCTTGAATCAATAAAAATGGCTGGCTATTGGATTGTGAGTATGAATGGAACCTTTAGAGAGTTAGTTCTCAAATTCAGAACTATGCCATTAGAGAGCACGATGTTGACAAAAGTCAAAAATTTCTAAGATGTTACTATTGAATAATAGTATAAAATCTCAATGGATTTCTAAACACTTGTTAATGACGCTTCCATCAACGAAAAGCATAGTTTTTTGTTTTTTATTTACTATCTCATTAACTACTTAGTTATTTATCTGTCCCTCGTCTTAATAACACTTCCATTTTATCCATGTTAATGATATTGCGTGGTTACAAGTTTATGGCTTTTTTTTTTATTAATTAGGCTAAGTTATTAAAACTGCAAATTAAAATTATAATACTTCATTGTTTTGTTTTTTTTTTGTTTTGTTTTGTTTTTTTTTTTTTCATTTTAACAATATAATTGATAAAATAACACCAATATGAAATATCATGTGTGCCTATATATATATATATATATATATATATATATATATATATATATATATATATATATATATATATATAAAAGATTTTTATGAAATATTTCAAAAAGATAGGGATAGATGTTTAGGGGGATGTATGGTAAATTGTGCCGAAAACTGAAGTGAATGATTCCATCTGCTTAATGGCTAAGAGAATGTAATGGTTTAAAGGCAGTTTTATTAGGCTTCTAATGCATTTAGAGGCTATACAAAACACATGGATTAATACCGATGGATTTAGATATGGCTTATGAAAGGTTCCATTAAGTAGTTAACAAATAACCCCTTAGTTGTTAATAAGCTTTTAAAAAAACACTTATATTTATACATTTAGATAACGTTTCTAAAGATAAATTTTAATTGATTTGAGATGATAAATAAACTTTAGATAGGCATTGTGCATTCTTCTGGTATTACTGAACACATCCATACAAATTGTTGTCTTCAATCCTAATTTTACCAAACAATATCTTCAGTCCAATCCAGTTGTGTCTGTGTACACAGTCCAATCCAGTCGAATCTAATTATACCTTTGTACCCATCTATATTTCGACATTTTCCTATTTTATTTACCCATCAATATTTCGATCTTTTCCTATTTTTTTACCCATCAATATTTCGACCTTTCCTATTTTGACATAGTTATGTCCATTCATGCATGTAAAATATTTGCTAGTTGATGTAATATTTTATCGTTGAAAACTATAGCCTCATTATACAAATAAATTATTTAATTATAATAAATTACATTTTTTTTAGATTTTCATTACACTAAACACCAAACACACACACACACACACACACATATATATATATATATATATATATATATATATATATATATATATATATATATATATATAGAGAGAGAGAGAGAGAGAGAGAGAGAGAGGTTCAAGTATTCTAACTAATTATTGTGCGGATAACGTATGCTATGAGAATAATAAAGAAAATATGTTGTTTGATAATATAAATACGTTCAATCTTACATAACTATTGTTATTAACACACATTCTCACTAATCAAATCGTCTAAAAGGTTATTATACACTTATTATTATTATTCTTATTTCTGTCAGAATGTTTGTCAGAATGTTTATTGGGTCATATTCTCTCATAATGAAAATGAGTGCAAAACGATGTGTGAGAACAAAAATAAATAATAATTAGCGAGAATGCATGAAAATGACGATATTTTGTAAAGTTGAACGTATTCGCATTGCTAAACAACTTATTCTCTTAATAATTCTCATAGCATACGATATCTACACGATAATTAGTTAGAATACCTGAACCTAGTTCTATATAGAGCTAGGTTCAAGTATTCTAACTAATTATTGTGCGGATAACGTATGCTATGAGAATGATAAAGAAAATATGTTGTTTGATAATATAAATACGTTCAATCTTACATAACTATTGTCATTAACACACATTCTCATTAATTCAATCGTTTATAAGGTTATTATACACTTATTATTATTATTCTCATTTCTGTCAGAATGTTTTATTGAGTCGTATTCTGTCAGAATGAAAATGAGTGAAAAACGATCTGTGAGAACAAAAAAAAAATAATAATTAGCGAGAATGCATGAAAATGACGATATTTTTATAAGGTTGAACATATTCGCATTGCTAAACAACTTATTCTCTAAGTAATTCTAATAGCATACGATATCCGCACAATAATTAGTTAGAATAGAATAACCTCTATATATATATATATATATATATATATATATATATATATATATATATATCTATATATATATATATATATATATATATATATATATTATATACTTGCGTTGTGTTAAGTATAGATAAATAAGAGACAAAATTTGAAAAATGGTCTTGGAGAAGTTCAGATTTTTATAATCCTAAACACAAACACTCACACTTTCACACATACACATATCCTCTCTCTTTCTCACTATATATATATAATATTATATATATATATATATATATATATATATATCTATATATATATATATCTATATATATATATATATATATATATATAGAGAGAGAGAGAGAGAGAGAGGATCATTTGAGAACTCATATATTCCCGAAAACTTGAGAACTAAAGGTGGACCACTAGATCAAAAATTTTAAGGGCTCTGATTTTTTATGGCAATCTCGTAATTAACAAAAGCTTGAATGGTGTATACGGGCTTTTAACAAAAATCGTGAGGGTAAACTAGGAATGAGATTTTTACATCCCTAAAACTCATTCTCTCTCTCTCTCTCTCTCTCTCTCTCACGTACGTCGTCCACTCGTCCTCGCCGTCTCCCTCCTCTCTCCGGCCACGACGTTTGCTCCATCTTTGCCTCTGTTGGTGGCGATAGTATCCTCGCCAAATCTGGAGGATTGTACATCAACCAGCGACCACCACCTGCATCGGCATATCACTTTCTTCATCGTCTCCTTCTCGGCTTCATACAAGGATCCATAATCGATCCATATTTCATAGTCATTATAACCGATTGATGTTGAATCTGAAATCCTTCAATGGTTTAGGCTTCATTCTCGTCGATCATGAACAATTTCTGTAAGTATTTATTTTATTTGCATTTTGAATCTGAAATCCTTTGTAAATCTCTCTCTCAAGTACCTCCTCCTCACTTCCTCACCTCTCCAATGAAGTTAGGGTTTCTTCATCTGTGATTTTCTGGTGATTGAAATTGGACTTACAAATCTGTTTTATCATCTTGTTCCCCAAAATCCTACTGAAATAGGCGTGGGTTTGACCATGTCGTTCGGTTAGGGTTTAGAAACCAACAAAATTGATATCAAATTAGAGTTTCAAATCCTTCAGCGGCTTGCCAATAAACAGTAACATAAAAAAGAGATTGATTTTATTCGTTCTGCTGATGTGGACATGTAATTGATTTTAGTTATATCTCTCACAAATCACAATTCCACACTAAAATATACCATCAGTATGCATTTGGTCAAAAAAATGTCGTATATGCAATGATATTTTATGTATCAGACAATATTTGACTCATAAATCTTTTATCAATTAGCATGATCTCTGTTTCATTAATGCTTTTACAACTATTTTGCTGCTGAATTTTGCTCTGGTTTGAGGTTGTTTGGCATCCTGTTTCTATTATCTTTGGTGCTATCTACTGTTCATTTTGTATCAAATACAACATGTAGCTAACGATTATTAATAAATGTGATTGTAATATTCCTAGATCCTTTTTCTAGTGTCCTACATTTGTGGGAACTGTAACCTACATGTCACCTGAAAGAATCAGAAATGAAAGTTATTCATATCCAGCTGATATCTGGAGCCTTGGTCTTGCTCTTTTTGAGTGTGGCATTGGTGAATTTCCTTATACAGCAAATGAAGGACCTGTTAATGTTATGTTACATGTAATTTTATCAACTGCAGTATATTGGTTTTTTCTTTTATTCTTGTTGATATATATATATTTTTATTTCCCATATCTTAATAGATCATGGAAGATCCATCTCCATCACCACCAAAAGACATTTTTTCTCCAGAGTTTTCTAATATTATGCATATTCATAGATACGAACATGTTTTCTGATTTCATTCATATCTATATACACTAGATTACTGTAGAACATACAATCCTAAAATAGTTGCATTGTTTATTGGATTTAGTTATTTGGGGCAATGGAGGATATCAATGGTCAAAGAAAATGGAGAAAAGTTGCTTATGGAGGTATGCAGACTAGTTTTGATACCAATCACACATACAACACTTTCCTTCAAAAAATGGTGATGAGTGCTAATGTGGTCAAAAGAGACATGCTTAAGGTGATGCTAGATTTCGTTTCAACTTTTCACTATCTTTACATCTTTAACTATTAGCTTGTAAAAAGATCATAGAAAGAGACATGCTTAAGGTGATGCTAGATTCTGTTTCAATTTTTCAGTATCTTTACATCTTTAACTATTAG